TTTTAAGGGACATTAGCGAGTAAGCCTAACCTAGAATCTTGCATCGAAACAGGTTAAAAACATTTTCCGGCTTTTTGAAATCAGTAACTTACGGATACCTCAGACTACATCAAGTAAAACTTTAGGGGACATTAGCGAGTAAGCCTAACCTAGAATCATGCATCGAAACAGGTTAAAAACATTTTCCGGCTTTTTGAAATCAGTAATTACGGGTACATCAGACTACATCAAGTAAACTTTAGGGGACATTAGGAGTAAGCCTAACCTAGAATCTTGCATCGAAACAGGTTAAAAACATTTTTCCGGCTTTTTGAATCAGTAACTACGGATACCTCAGACTACATCAATAAACTTTTAGGGGACATTAGCGAGTAAGCCAACCTAGAATCATGCATCAAAACAGGTTAAAAACATTTTCCGGCTTTGAAATCCGTTAAGTACGGGTACATCAGACTACATAAAGAAACTGTTAGGGGACATTAGCGAGTAAGCTAACCTAGAATCTTGCATCGAAACAGTTAAAAACATTTTCAGGCTTTTTGAAATCAGTAACTTACGGGTACTCAGAACTACATCAAGTAAACTTTCAGAGACATTAGCGAGGAGCCTACCTAGAATAAGCATCGAAACTGGTTAACAACATTTTTCGGCTTTTTGAGATCAGTAACTTACGGGTACATCAAACTACATCAAGTAAACTTTTAAGGGACATTAGCGAGTAAGCCTAACCTAGAATCATGCATCGAAACAGGTTAAAACATTTTCCGGTCTTTTGTAAATCGGTAAAGTACGGGGACATCAGACTACATCAAGTTAAACTTTTAGGGGACATTAGCGAGTAAGCCTAACCTAGAATCATGCATCGAAACAGGTTAAAACATTTTCCGGCTTTTTGAAATCAGGAACTTACGGTTCATCGAGTACATCAAGTAAACTTTTAGGGGACATTAGCGAGTAAGCCTAACCTAGATCTTGCATCGAAACAGGTCAAACTACTTTTGTAGAAAATATTGTTTTTGGGTTTTTTAGAATGACATATATTTATTCTATTATTTATTTACATGACATGGTTTAAATACAACATTTTTATTTCTTTAAGTTACATTTTTATTTAAAAAAAATTTCTTACATTTAGCTAATACAATTTAAATAAATTAATATCTGAAATCTTGCTTGCTTTCCAGTCGAGGATGCTTTTCACGAGATAGTAGTGTCGCTGTCATAACACCTTCGCGATTTTGCTCTAATACGCGTTTTGATACATTAGCCAGTAATTGAACATGTCTCTCAGTTCCCTGAATGTGGACCGGAATTTTAGGGTCACTCCATGGACACTCATTGCTTTGTAGATATTGTACTAGATGTTCATGAGGAATATTTAGCGTAAAGGCTGGTTCGGATATATTTGAATAATCATCCATATCTATCATATTAGTATAGTCGGTGCATTCGAAATTTATTTCGGGTGTTTTGTAATCTCTCAATTGCGTCAGGTCTTCCACATTATTACGGTAATATAAGATTTTTCTTATAGCTGAATCTCGTATTTTCTTTTTATTATCAAACAACATTGCTAATAAAATATTTTCCGAGTGAGCATAGTATGCGTTTTCTTTAGCAACATTGTTCACATTTGTCTTAAATTCGAGTATAAATATTGCGTCCAGCTAATAAATTTATAAAATAATACCTACCATACACCACAGAGTTTGTATATTTAATGTTAAAGTACATTGGAATATATACTTTCATTACGTAGTTTGCCAGAATTTTCAAATTTTTGGATGGCTTATTAGTAGTTACATATAACCGAAGTAACCTACTAGCCTTCGTGAGCCACCGGGAATGTGCTATTGGCCCTGGTTTCATGTTAGCTAAGTCTGTCATACTTCTCCAGAAGCAACTGCTTTAGCTACTTTTATTAAATAACTTGAGTCAGTTGTCGATTCAGCAGGACTTTATATCAGCCAAATTTTTAAGTGGGATTGTTTCAAAGTCTATTACCGGCTGGAAGTATATAGGAAAAATAAATTATATTGAATTTGAACATGGGTATTAAAAATGGTAAATATGTTATAACTCACCGTATATTTCGCATGTTTCAATTTGTTTGCTTAATATTCCAGTTTTTGTTCGTGGTCCAGTGGTCATGATTTTTCCAAATAGTTTAAATAAATGGCGAAGTGGAAGTTCGTTAAAGTGGAGAAGACACACAAACCAATGCAGTGGCCTGTTTTAACTGAATTTCAAATCGACGTAAAATACCATTTTTTACGCCTGTATTTGCTGTTCACCATCGCAACATATGCCTATCAAAAATCGAGAGCTATTCCTTTATCGGCAAAAACTCGTTCA